TTCGGCCATAATAAGCTCCGTATGCTGCAACGTGCGCTAAAGAGTGCAAACCAAGGCATCCAGAGATACCACCCAAATGCTGGGGTGTTTGCTGTCTTGGTCGATACAAACCCAAAAATCTCACAGCCGAAAGCATCATCGGGACGGATTTCGGTGCCACCCGACGATAGCGATGCTCAGTTTCCTTCGTTTGTGCTTGGGCATACGATGGATGTCTACTGGAAGGATGTCGTGAAAATGAACAAAACTTCTGCTTACAAAGATGCCGTGTGTATTGGTGACAAGAATGAGGCCTGGAAGTATCTTGTTTCGATGGGTCGACCGCTCTGGAAGAGCACATTTGACGCGTCAATGAAGAAATACAACAGCGAAGTAAAAGCGGCCGAAAGAGTCCTCCGTCTTGCAGCGCAGAGAATGTTACTAGGAAGAGACACTCTTTCCCTGATATGTTACGATGAAACGACAATGTTTGGAGTGGCTTCAATGCTGTGTCGACTTGGATTGCGTCCCCATTCGAGCTCGTCCCTGGCGCCTCGCGTCGTTGCCGACTTGATGGCGATTCTAGCTTACCTGAATTATGAAAGTGATGGATGTTTGAGTAGTTTTTCGTCGGATCCGGTGCTGGCGCTGGGAGCGACGAAGGTGTGGTACAACTGTAAGCCTGCATTGGCGAATTGTATTCTGCCGCAGCTCAAGAAGTTGCTTCTGAACGAGATGCTGGATACTTGTGGTGTTGACGAGGTAATTGCTCGCATTGTTCTGCTTCTCGTGATGGATTCTTGTGTGGTAGAAGCTGAAATCTCAACACAAAAGCATTGTAATTGCCCGTTTATGGGCCAATTCGTAAGTCTAGAACTATTCATCAAAGCACTAGTTGGTCCTGACCCGATATTAAAGAAGAGGGGACAACCAACAGACGATGCGAGAGCAAAGGCTTCTTTCCTAAACTGGAAGTCTAAGTGGGCAGACTGGCAGTTGGGGTTCTGCCATTTCGTTCAGCTATTCTCCGAGCCAACAGAGGATATGCTGTGGGTGTTATTGGGACGTCGAGCCGGTGGGGTTTTCCCTCGTAACCAAAGTTGCGTAGATTTCGTGATCCCAATTTTTCACTGTGAAAAGCGAGAGGCGTCATTGATTCTAGTTCAAGTGAAGGATACCATAGATTACGCCGGCGAAACGATAGTGTCTTATCCTTGCAAAGTGTTTTCTTCGGGAAATACATTGAGCGAAAAATTACCCTGTGACGTGGTCGGTATTTGCATGAGTGTGCGAGAGCTACACGACCCGTTTATTCAATACGAGAAGGTGGCTGTAAGTGCAGTCGAGGAGAGGAAAGACCAGACTAGCAGCGACCCCATTTTCACGGAAAAATGTAGCGTTTCTATAGCACCAGCAACGCAGGTTGTGTCCAATGAGCAGAGAAAACACGGGAATCAACTTCACGACCAATCGCCGACCAACGCCGCGGCTGTAAAAACTGTGAATGCGTTCACGCTTTGTTTTGGTTCGTTGCAGCCTTGGTTGCTTTCAAAGAAGAAAATTGGAGATACGCTGCTACCTGTTGTTCCTGATGCCACTGCTATTATGAGCAAACTGGCCGAGATGGCTTCGCCTCTTTGGGACCCCGTTGCTCTTGTATGCGGTGATTTAGACTACAGAGCAGAAGTGGAGATGAAACACTGCGTTGAACCACGAGTATCCCAGGAAATGCCGGATGAAACGTTACTGAGTATCTCGCGGCAAGCACTTTTGCACGCGACGTTTGGTGGTTCTGTAAAAGGTGATGGGAAGCGGGCATCCATCTAAAGTTTGTGTTCTCGGGGCAAAGGACGCACGAAGTCACGAAAAGAGTCGTAACTCGACCGTTATTTCGAGCATGTCCACCGTGGATGGACGGAAGCGCATCTTGCTTTAGAAGCTACAGTTAATTGCCAACAATTGAAACACTGTGAGAGCGAGAAAATTAAAAACAAGGTCTCTATCGAGAAAAGGAAAAAGACGGATGCTCAATCCTTGCCTGATTTTACAGGCGCACTTCGAAGTACTTGTCGCCGACAAGAGCGTAGGATACGATTTAATTGGAGCGACAACACAACACTAGAGGTGAAAATTATAGTTGGTTAAATAGACCCCATAAAGAAACGTTAAGCCTAAATTACGTTTAACCATTCCTGTAATCATCGTTACACTATCAAAATTTGATAAACACCTCAACAACACCAAGGTGCATTATCCAAATGCTTTAATCATAACTGGCGTGTCTAATGCACTTAATGCAACAAAATGTTTAAAATTAAATATTATTTTAGCTTTCATTGAGGTTGGAATGAGAGGTGATCAATCTTTACTTACTTACAAGATTAAACAGGTAGTACTGTACAAGCGGGTAGTAGTCAAGCTACGCCAGTACGATCTTTTGTGTTGATGTGAGCTAAGTTTCATGGCTCAGAAACGGCCCGTGGCATCGAGCACGACGCTAAGCTAAACATATTGTGTAGCGTTTGTATAAAATGTTATTTTAAATGCAGGTGGTTTTGGGTGAAGGATGAAGATACAGTGATAGCCAACAATAATAAAGCATTAGAATAATTATTTTTATTCAGATAAGCGTGATGCTGAGCCGGATTAATAATAATTTAAATCATCGGGGCTTAGTTTTTTTTTAATTTTATTTCACCGAAAGTAGCGGAGGTGGAAGGGCCAAAACAAGAAGAACTAAACCTAAACTACCGCTCGGCTATTTCTTTAGAGAGTGATTCATTTGCCCGAATGAAATCTGCCAAATCTGAGTCGAGTCGACCCTAAACCTCCTCAAATAAATACCCCTTTCCGGACAAAGTATACCGTATAGTAAAGGGGGGC